TTTTTTTTTGTTTTTGTTTTTGTTTTTTGAAAGAATAGTTGCTTCTCCTGAAGGAAGGGGCCCCATGGCAAAGCAAGGCTTGAACACAGAAGCAGATTTGAAGACTGGCCAGCAGGTGGCACTTTTGACTAGTTGATGGACCATGCCTATTCCAATTCAATATCCAGAGATTTTCTCCAGATGTCGGAAACATTGTGCATAAAGTTATGGGAGCTGAAAAAGAGGAATTTCATCTGATATGGGATACTTAAAAAAACAGAAGGCATATTCAGAGTCTAAAGTGAGCTGAGATAATATTTACTTTCATAAAGCACATTGTGACCATAAATGCATTATTTCCTGTAACTCTACAAGGTAGAGAGCCTTTCCAATCCGTTGGGAATTCATAAATCTGTAAAGAGTTACTAAATTTTAGTGGAGGAAGCGTGCGAGAGAGGCAAACTCATGTCATTCTGATAATAAGGCAAAAATGCCATATGGAGGCTGGTATGATGTTTCTCTACAAAGTCAAGATTATGATTGACTACTTAAATCACATGAATTACTTCTTATTCTTCTCATAAAGCTTATTTTTATATTTTTGTTGCAGACACATCATTTCCCCCCCTTAATAAGGCACTATTTTTAGAGTTTCTAAAAGCTACATCTTTGGATCGCGCAATAAGCTTCAATAGTGGTGTACATCTATTAATGCACCAAATACATGGGATTAAAATTTGATAATTTGGTTCTCTCCTCCAAGTAGGCTATGTATTCTATCAAGTAAGTAGACTGTAGCTATTGCTTGAATAATTAATTAAATTTCATATTTTATAGCAATTTTAATCATTTTTAGTTACAGAATGACTCTCGCGTGTATTTTGGTACCTCACTTGCATTATTTTATGTACAAAATTTCTTACATTGGCAAAATAATGAAGAGGATTACACTCTAAAATATACCTTCTTCCTGTATTTCTAGCCATATAATACATGAAGTCTTTTTTTACCTATATATTTTTTACCTGCTATATTTTTTTTACCTGCTATATTTTTCATAATCAAAAATCCTGTTATGCACTTCTTCTTTAGGATGAATTTCCAAATTTGGAAACTGAAAATTTCTTAACCTGTTTGCTCTTGGTCCTTCCTTTCCCTTAACTGACAATGTTACGAGTTCCAGGCCATAAGTGGTGCTCAGAGATGGACTTACGTCACTTTGTTTATAAGGGCTTGTCCAGCTGTATGCAGATTTTGAGAGGACGATGGCCAATGGCTGGACAGGGGTTCCAGGGGATTACTGTGCAATAATACCTGCAAAAGCTAGGAAGGTCTTAATGAATTTCAAAAGCATAAGAGTAATCCACTATGTGTCATACACTAAGCAAAAATTGTCTCTCAAAATAACTTGAGTCCAAAAGTTGTGGAGGACATAAACACAGCACGTAGGTGCACACATAACTCCAAGGACAGGTCCAAAGAGTCAGTAAAAGCCAACGTCCGCCATGGAGGGAGGTAGTGCTGAATTTTTGTTTTTTTAATTTTTGTTTTAAAGAAGAAAAACGGGGTGTTAAGGAGATAGCTCAGCAGTCTAAGTGCCTGGCAAGCACAAGGATCCAGCTTTGATCCCCAGTACCACATGCCACACTAACCCTGGAACCCCGGGCGCACTGTGGCAGCCACTGAAACCAGGCATGGTGGTGCACTCCTGTAATCCCAGCACTGGGGAGGCTGAGACAGGAGGGTCACTATGAGTCTGAGCTGTGTAGCAAGACCCTGTACCCAATAAATAAATAAAAAGTTTTTTAAATTAAAAAAGAAAAAAAGCAAGTAACAAGAACAAAGACAAAAGCAAAGCAACATAAAACAATAAAATGGTACAGAATTTCAAAACAAGAATAGAAAATTAGCAATGGTTATTATAGTACATATTGTTATCATCAAATCAGTTGCTTGGATTATCCGATATGTGGATAAGAAAGATGGTGTAGTATTATATAATAGAGTATTACTCAGTCTTAAAAAAAAAATAAGCTTGAGGCTTCATAGGCAAGTGGATGCAACTAGAGGCTATTCTCATAAGTGAAATGAATCAGACCCATATGTGCAAACCTCGTATTGTCTCCCTAGTAGGATTGAATTTTGAGATTGTCCACTAATGGCAGTAGGGACTTATAAACGCTGCTAATTTAACAAAGACGCTTGTCACAGAAAAAATAAAATACTTATGGTGAATCATCATTTCAAATCTATTTGATGGCCAGATACCAGAGAAACTTCAGCTATCTGACTCCCTGCTTGTCAAATCCTACCTTAATCCCGCCACTGAAAAAGAATAGATTGCTTTATCCCACTGACAAGTGAGTGATGTTTATTTCAAGATTGTATGACAACATTGGAGATAATGCAGATTATATTAGTTGGCCTTGATTCCTAAAATAGTTTTGAAGAGAACTGGCTTACCTTCCAATTACATCTGAGTTCTTAGGGTAACTTGACGGGAACAAAACTGTCACATGTTCTCTCTGCTTTGGTAAGCTACTGTTGCAGTACCCTTAAATCTGTCTTAACTTAAAAATCAGTGACACTTGGGGAGTTGGCTGGTGGCTTCGGAGTAAATTTAAAGCTGACCATGGAGAATAGTACTAGCTTCTCAATGACTAATAACTGTTCTTAATGGGTACTATATAAAGTTTGTCACAAATTAGAGAATATATGGATTAGATTACCGATCAAGTCCCGTTTATTGTGCTAGAGCTTAGTTATTGCTCCCCTTGTTTTCTACTTTGGGCAGTACTTTGTTACTGTGAGCTTCATAATGGGGTTTGGGAATAATTAAAACAAGATGGGCTATGAGTTAGAGGACCATTTTCAAATCCAGATGGTTAAAACTAAAAGTATTTTAATAGCTAGGATTACCCACTTCCATTCTCACCCGGCCCCCAGTGGTCCTCCCAGGCGTCTCCTGCCAAGGTCACCTTGAACACCAAGTTGCTGCTCCAAATTCACCTTCCCTGCCCCGGCTGCAGGCTGAGCTTGGCAGGCAGCTTCCTTCCTGCAGAACATGTTTTTCTCTTGGCTTCTAGAGCACGGGATTCCCTCATGCCCCCTCACCTCTCTGCATGGTGTTTCTTGATTTATTTTCAATTTTTCCTGCATCTACCTCACAGTGTGGTTCTGGTGTATCTTCTGTCTCCACTTGCTCTGGTGGCGGCTTTACCCATCCTTATGCTTGCCACACCCCTATCCTTGGGCAGTGGTCCACGATTCTCCAGAACCATGCCCCACAATTCTCTCACTTCCGGATTCCTATCCCCAACTCCGCGCTCCATCTTGTGCCTTGAAAGTCTAGCCCTTGTTCCTAATTCTGCAAGTTCACAGCCAGGCTTCTGACCCCAGCCCCTCAACCCAGCTCTTCCTGCCAGCTTTTTCCTATGCTTGTTACTGACATTAAAAAAAAAAAAAAATTAGAGAACATTCTATTCCTTTCAGTCTCCACCAGCAGAGTGCTAAGTGTCCTTCTATACATATCAGGGTTCACCAATGTGTTGGTCAGTTTTTGAGACTGTAACAAGCACCAGAACAAATCACCTTTCAAGGGCAAAGAGTGCTCTGCTCATCGTGCGGGGCTGCCTGATCCTCGCCCCTATTGCACTGGGTCTGCAGAGAGCATCATTGCGCTCACAGAGCATGGTGGTACAGAGCCATATGGCCAGAAAGCTAGAGTGAGGGGTGTGCCCGGGCCCCACTGTCCCCCGCAAGGCACACCCTGGTGACCTGAAGGTCTCCCCTAGCTCCCCCTGCCTCCAGTAGCACCGGCTGCAGACCACACGCCCACACGTGGGCCTTTGGAGGCCCCTGGAGGTCCCAATGGTAGCTGCACCCCCCACCACCACCTGTGTCCCTACAATGCTCACTGGCTCACGCTGACGCCAGCAAGGGCCACTGACGTCCTGGCCTCTCGTCATCCTCCCCATCCACAGCAGTCTGCTTCCTGAACAGCAGCCTGAGGAACATTTGAAAAACACAAAATAATTAGCTCCCTGTTCAAACCCACCACATATTTCCAGCTGTAACCTAGATAAGACCAAGGTCATAGGGCTGGGGAGATGGCTCAGTAGAATAAGTGCTTGCCTGGCAAACGCAAGGGCCCGAGTTCAATCCCCAGTTCCAGGAAAAAAAAAAAAAAAAAAAAAAAAAAAAACCAAGGTCACGGCATAAGCTCTCAGGCAGGTTCTGTCCATTGGCCATCCACATCAAAAGCATCCTTCCACCGCCCTCTGTGCTGTTCGAGCCGCTCTGGGCGTCCTGCAGCTCCTGGAGCCCAGCAGGTGGTGCCTCCGCTGGGCCTTTTCCTTTCCCCAGGTGCCCCTGCCTGCCAAGCTGGTCACCCGCTTCCTGTGTGCACAGTGTCACCTCAACGAGGCATCCAGCCAGCCTGTTTAAAAATCAAACCCCCTCTCCTTGTTGCTCTCTTCCTTTTGTTTAAATTTCACACATCAGTGAGATCATGCACTGCTTATCTTTCTGTATCTGAATTATTTCACTTAGCATCATCAGCTCAGTTACACCTATGTTGTTATAAGTGAAAAAATTGTCCTTTTCATGGCTGAATAGTATTCTATCACATGGCATTTCCTTTACCCAATCATACCCGATGGAAACACTTAC